CATTAAATAGGTATTTTTAAATACATTTTTCAATTTAAAGAAAAACGATTTTAGTTTTAACAGATCAGAATAAAAAAAAGTTAAGAGAAACTTGCTTAAAACTTAAAGCCAGGGAAAAGGTTAGGCTTTAGTTCAAATAGTAGGTAGATGAACCTATCAACAGTTAAAGAGAAAACAAAAATCCCTAAATCTGGAAATTGAAGTATAGAAAAAAAAAATCAGTAATGTTTTAGTCTAAAGTAAAAAAATTCTATTTCACCAGTTCAGTCTCATATACTTAATCTCTCTTCTATTGAATTTGAAATGTTGCAGTGGTATGATCTTTCCATTTAAACTCTGGAAGTTAACATTCAATTTCTGACTTGTCCCCACTGTTACACTGATCATTTTCTTGGATGTTTTTGTACTCTTATATCTGTGTGTCCAACGTTAGTTTTCCTGGTATAGCACTCCCTTCAGTACTTCTTGGAGAGCTGGTCTAGTATTGGTAAATTCTTGCAGGTTTTGTTTATCTGGAATGTTTTTGTCTTTTTTCCCATATGAAAGATAATCTTGCTGGGTATAGTATTCTTGGTTGAAATTGTTTTTCACTTAACACTTTGAATATATTTTCCCATTCTTTTTTTTCTTGCTTGCATTGTTTTTGAGAGGTCTGATGTTAATCTGATGGGATATTCTTTGTAGGTAACTTGCAATTTCTCTCTTGCCAAATTTAGTATCTTATCTGTCTGTGGTTTTGGTCAATCTGGCTATGATGTGCCTTAGAGAAGATCTTCTTGGGTTAATTCTATGTGGAGTCCTTTGTATTTCTTGCATCTGGATATTTGAGTGCCTCTCTAGGTTTGGAAAGTTTTCTTCTAGGATTTCATGAAGTAGATTATCAATGCCCTTATTAGATTCTTAACTTTCTGGGATACCAATGATCTGGGAGTTTGGGCATTTAATGGTATCTAGTATTACTTGTATGTTATTCTCAATTTTTTTTTTGTTGTTGTTGGTTATTTTCTCAGCCTTTTTGGTGAAATTTTCTAGGTCAGAGGTTCTACTTCTACTTCTGAGATTCAATATTCTGTATGATTTTATCTGCTTTTAATACTTTTAAGGGAGGTTTTGATTTTCTGTATTATAGGCTTCATCTCTAACAATTCTGTTTGATTCTTTTTTATGGTGTGTGTTTCCTCTTTCATATCTTGTGAGAATTTCCTCACCTCCTGAACCTCATTGTTTCTTTTCTTCTGAGTCTTCTGGAATTCATTGTTTTTCTTCTCTTGCATCTCTGTTAGCTTTGTCATAAAAATATTGTAAATTCTTTATCTGACATTTTCATGAGTTCCCTTGTATTGTCTGTGGTGGATGAGGAGCTATTCTTTTCCCTTAGGGGAGAGATATTTTCTTGGCTTCTCATATATTTTTTGTGCCTCTGGTGGTTTCCAGTCATCTGATGGATTATACATTTTTTTCTGAAGTTTTTGGAGTTAAATCTGAGCATTCAGAGGCATGCAGTAGGAAGTGATTTACAATCTCTAAACAGTATCGTTTTTCTTCCTTTTTGCAACAGATTCAGTGGAAATTGAGGATTAATCTGACCCTGAAAGTATTCAGATATTTGGCTATTGTTCACCTAGACCTGTCTAGACCTGTCTGGAAACTCAGTATGTGGAAAAGTGAGAAAGGTAAAAAGAAAAGGAAAAGGGGGGGGGGAACAAGAGAGAGAGAGAGAGAGAGAAAATTAAAAAAATTAAAAATTTAAGTTAAAAATGAAAACTGCACAGTGCGCTAGTGTGCCACACAAAAAGAGGCTGCTCATAACCACATACACATGCCTGGTGATTGGCTTGTACTGTAGGGGTTGGGAGAAAGGTAAGAATTAGAAAGATAAAAGAGACAGAGAGAACTAAGAAGTTTAAATTTTTTTTTAAGGAAATAGAGAGAGAAAGACAGAGAGAGACAGAGAGAGTATATAGGGTGTTATAACCTGGCTGCTGGCTAGATCTTGGGGGCAGGAGGGTGAAGTCTGGGCAGAAGGTCTTCAGTGGGCCTAATCCCTGAAAGGGGCCGCTCAGAACTCAGATATAGATGGCTGGTGATTGGACTGTCCTGGCTCCTGGCTAGATCTGGGAGGCAGGAAGGTGAAATCTAGGCAGAAGGTCTTAAGTGGTCCTAATCTGGTTATCTCTTAATAACTAAAATCTGGGCAACCCTGACAGGCAAAACCCATTGTCCATAGGCCATCCCCTTCTTGAATATAGCTCCAGAGAAAAGGATGTGGATAGCACTTAGAAGGCCAAACCAGTGCCTTCTTCAGATAGCATCTCTTACTGGTCTTCCATGAACTCAGCTCTCATTTAATAGGCAGTTCCTACATTGCAAATTTAGTATGAGATCCTTCACTCAAGTTGCTTTCAAGCAAAATGTGATCATTATATGGTTTTTCTAGTAATAGCCACCTTTAGTTTGAGAGGACATAGTATATCACTATTGACATAGCCTTGAGAAGTAAAAAAACATGCTTTTTGTTTGTTTGTTTATTCTTAAATATAAAATTTACCAGGTAAGGGGCCAACAGGTGGTATGATGGTTAAAATGCTGGACTCTTACATGGCCAACAGTGGTCCAAGTTCCAGACCTGGTGGCTTGCATTCTCACTTTTTCTCTCTCTCATTTGCACACAGGCCCTATAGAAATTTTATAAAATGATAAATAAAATTAAATACAAATACTTCTTAAAAATAATAATAAACAAAATTAAGTAAATTTTTTAAAAGAAAATTTACAGAGTAAAGAAAAAGACAGATTCCTAGAATCCTAACTAATTTACACAGTAAGATGAACTCGTGCTCTCTTTCCTGACTAATTTTCTGCATGCTATGATTGTGGTTCTACAGTGATCACACTGTGATTATCTTTTTTTTCCTTCTTCACAGTTTTAACATACATGTTTTAATATCGTGAAATACAAGTACAAAACATTATACAAATATGCTTTCCACTACATGGAAATGAAATCATGCATTTGTGTTTTTACCAGAATCTGTATTGCCCAGTACTGGCCATTGTACCCCAATGGCTATCTACAGGGATATTATTATTATATTATTCCAGTGAGAGTTTGTCATGAATAAAAAAGTTCATAACTCATTTCAACCCTTGAAGATTTATTCTCATCTTAATAATATTGCTATTCATATATTTGGAGAACTGTTTTGAAATACAAAATCATTTTAGTCAAGAGTATCAATAATGGGTCATATTATTTCACATTCACCAAGATCTCTATTATCTAGGCATTGCAAAGACACTTTTGGCAAATTAAAAAAAAAAAAAAAAGACTTACTCCTTAATCATAGAGATGATACTTTAAGAATATTGGACTCTACTACTCATCTACTATTATCTTCTGTAATAAAGCCTTCCTCTATGCAAACTCTTGTTGTTTAAGAAATTGGCTTACTCTGTGGTGAAAGGTAAGGCCCAGTCTGTAGGTTTGTCCAGTAACACAATCACTAACCAACAAGTTTTAGGTTTTGCGGTTTAAGATACACATTCACGGGCCAGCTGGTGGTGTGGTGGTTGGGTTGTCAGAATCCAACATGGCTGACTGTGCAGTCCCAGACCTGGTGGCTTCGGGAACATACTGAAAACCAGGTACAGGTGTGAGCGTGCCCAAAATCCCCAGAGGAGAATAGAGGAAGAGGGATTGTGGTGTGTCTGTTGTCTCCGGAAGGTGCTTTCTCATTTTCTCTCTCTCTCTCTCTCTGGCAAGTGCATGTAACTTATAGCAAATTTTAAAAATGATAATAAAATAAAATATACTTTTAATTATCACAAGTTTGGAGTATTACAAATTTCATGCATTCTACAAAGAGTGTATACTTTTCTTCCTTGTTTGCTTTCTTTTTCTTTGAGAAAAAAATTTATTGTGATCTAAAATGCACTTATAAATATCCATAGAAGGCGTGTAATTCTTCACTGCTACGTAAATTTATTGGGAACATGGTATTCACCATCTAATCATGATGATGCCTAAAACATGATAAATGATGAGTTATACTCCAATAAATGCATCACTGATTTTTCAGCAATTATTGATTTAATAATAATTAACTTAAGACTATATAATGACATCTATATTCTGGAGTATCTATTTACTTTCATGTAGTGTGGTGGAATTTGGAGTATAATTGCACAAGGATGGTACAGAATATTTACTACTGAAATATTTTGTGCCTTCATGACAGGTAATATCCTTCCTGACTGAATATTAAAGCTTTGGTCTGCAGCATTGCTCCTGGATTCATAATGCCATAGCGTGTGAGTGTGTGCATGTAGTCTGTGAGCACACCCATGGAACGACTTGAAATATATCTATAGCATTACTGTCTATTATTTTGTTAAATATTATAGTCTATTTGTAAGCAACTACAACCCCACACAAATATTCTTAATTCTATTTTTAAAAATCTGTCAAACTGTAATTATTCTAATACATTTTTCTTATTTGAACACATATTGATTTTCTGAAAGGTACATATACTGTGTTAGAAAACTAGGTTTAGAAATGAATGCTTTGGTGGGACCAGCAGTTAGTGTAATGGTTATGTCGCTGAACTCCCACGTAGTCAACCGCGGTTCGAGTCCCGGACCCAGTAGCTTAAACTCACGCCGGGCGCATGTGCGTGCGTGCCCAACCAAGATCCCAAGAGGAGAATGGAGGAGAAGGGATTGCGGCATGGCCATCCCCTCATGGGGTGATTTCTCACTTTCTATCTCTCTGTCTCTGGCAAGCGCACGTGCCCTATAACAAAAACCTCTCTAAAAAAAAAGAAATGAGTGCTTCGGATTTTATACTATGAAATGTGCATTTCTGGTATTTGTTATATGCAGCATAAAGTTTAGATCAATAATTTCCAAATCCTGGACCCCCCCAATAGTTCATTTAGAAAATTCTTCAAAGTTATGGCTCCTGTAGCAGGTTTCAACAGATTAAATGTTAAGTTTGCAAAAATATGGAACACTTAATGAATTTGCATATCATCCTCATGTGGGGACCATGCTAATCTCCGTGTGGTTCCTATTTTAGCATTACATGCTGCCTAAAGGGGCACTGCTTTGCTGCTTTTAAATACTATTGCCAATGCCACTAGAGGTCAGCAGAGGTGAGAAGATATAGTCTAGTCAAATGATTTTTGCCTGTTGGTAACAGTGGGAGAGGAAATAGAAATTTTCTGAAGCTTTTTGTTTTTTGCATTTTTTTGTTTGTTTTTCTAAATTGGGAGTGAGGGGCCTGAAATTGATTCACACATTTACCCTCTATTTTCTCTAAGTATATTATAAAATATATTCAGCTCTATAGCTGAACAGTCAAAAATGTAGAGAAGTATCTCTTTTGAAGGTTGTTTTTTCATTTTAAAATGGAATTTACTGCAGGTCCCAGCATTAGCTGCTAATGTTGGGCATGAATTTTAGAGAACAGGGTTACAGTTAAAGACACAATATTTCAAAATAATGAAGAGTTTGAATGTAAAAATTACTTCTGCATGAAATAATCAAGATATAGAAAGAAAAATTGCATGCTCTCACTCACATGTGGAAACTAAGGAAGTCGACCTCACAGAAGTTAAGAGTGGAACAGGGATTACTGGAGACTGCAGAAGGGTATCGGGGTGGGAGAGGGGAAAGAGGGAGATGTTGGGCAACATCTTAACAGATATGAAACAGATATAAAAATTACCATTAGGTAAGAGGAATAAGTTTCAGTATTCTATAGAACAGAAGGGTAACTACAATGAAGTGGAACTTACTGTAAATTTCAAAATCCAAAAGAAAGGATTTCCACAGAGTCATGATAACGGTTGAGATGATGGATATGCAAATTACCTAGTAACCCTGATTTGATCATTATACATTGTATTCATGTGAAAAATTACACCAGACCCCATAAATATATCCAATTATTATGTGTCAATTAATTTTGTTTTGTTTTGTTTTGCCATAGGGTATGTGCTCACTGGAGAGAGACAGAGATAGAGAAAATGAGAAATCACCCCTGAGGGGTGATGGCCACACTGTAATCCCCTCTCCTCCATTCTTTCTTTGGGATCCTGAGCACACATGGACACGTGATTTTTTTTTTTTTTTTTAGAGGTTTTCACTATAGGGCACGTGCGCTCGCCAGACAGACAGAGAGAGACAGAGAGACAGAAAGCGAGAAATCGCCCCCCAGGAGGGATGGTCACACCGCAATCCCTTCTCCTCCATTCTCCTCTCGGGATCTTGGGCATGCACGCACACGTGCCTGGCGTGAGTTTTAAGCCACTGGGTCCGGGACTCAAACCGCGGTCGACTACGTGGGAGTCCAGCGACATAGCCATTACGCTAACTGCTGGTTCCCTGGACACATGATTTTTGAGGCATCGGGTCTGGGACTCAAATATCATAGTAAGCTATGCGGTATCCAGCACTCCAACCTCCATATTACCTGCTGGCCCCCAATTTTAAAAAAAATTTAAATTTCCTTTTTTCCACTCAGTATACTTTGGCTTTTAACTTTCTCTATTCTTGTTAACATTATTTTTAGCCATGGGTTTGTATTTCTAGTCTTTACTAATTTATCCCTTTATTTCTAGTAACCCTTGTTGGAAACCTCTGTGTAGTGCTAAAACCAAATAGGAACCCCCTAAAGAGAAGCAGGTTCTCAGCTTTCCCCAGTGTTGAGGAAAAAATGGAAATTCCCTAAACTGAAAATTAGTAAGAGCAGAATTAAAAGTAAAATGTTTTTCTAAGAAGCTTAGAATGTGAGATTTGGGGTCAGCAGGTGGTGTGGTGGTTAAGGCACAGAACTCCCACGTGGCTTACCACAGTTTGGGTCTTGGACCTGGTGACTTGATTTCATACTTTCTTACTCTCTCTCTCTGGTAAGCACAAATGCTCTATAGCAAAAATTTTAAATAATAATAAATAAATTTATACAAATAGTTCTTTTAAAAATTATACTCTGCGATTCATTTACATTTTAAAAAATTGTCAGAGGGCACATGCACTTGCCAGAGAAAGAAAGAGACTGAGAGAGAAAGCAAGAAAGCACCTCTCAAAGGGAATGGTCACTCAGTCTTTTCTCCTTCATATTTTCCCCGTTCAAGATTTTGGGCACACACACACACACACACACACACACACACATTCCTGGTGTGTTTCCCAAGCCATTGGATCTGGAACTGGAATGACACTGTAGGCCAGGTAGGATCCAGCAGCCAAATCACTAGGCGTAGGCTGGCCTTTATTTGCATTTTAATGGCCAAAAGGATTAAGACTGCAAGACTTTGGTTAAAGTAAATTTGGTCCTGAATCAGACCCCTAAGATTTGTGGAATTCCCATTTAGAGGAAAGATAAAGGGACAACCCCATAGCCTGGTGGCAACAATCCAAATCCTGGCCCTGAGGGCTTGAAAAACAAACCAGGAATGTGTGTAAGTTTGCCCTGTTAAAGTATATTGGTCTGAGGAAGCCTCTTTACCCTACTTTAGTTCCCATAAGCAAACCACAACCTCATATGGAAGACTGCTTCCTTTTAAACTGCTAAGTTACAGCCAATCACAACAGCTATATTACAGTCAGTCACAAACAGCCCACCCTTTAAGGATGTAAGGATGCAGGCAAACATAAGGATGTAAATAACTAATCCAGTTATTTCTCTGCTTCATTCTCTCACTTTGGTTTTTATTTATTTATTTATTTATTTTTTGCTGTAACTTAACTGGACAACACAAAATTACGCTAATGGTAAAAGCCTACTGGAATTTACCAAGTGCTCATTAGTGTACTTTTTTTTCTTTTTAAAACTTTATTTCAACATAACTATGCTTACAGAAATACATTCATATGGGTTAATAGAATGCAATTTAAGTTTAACTTATCCTACACAATTTGGACCAAAAACTTGGTACATGGTTTTAAGATGAAAACAAAAAAGGATTTGTAATCTGTTTTATTTTTATCTATTGCAAATGTATAAAAGATTCTCATGAAATGCTATTAAAGAAGGTAGCCAGAACCGTAAGAAATTTACCTTTGGTTTGCCTCAGGAGAAAAAAACACATATTGCACTGTAAAAGTTTATAAAATTGGTGCAACGAAACATTGTAATGCTTCAATGCCAGTTTACAAAGTTCAATAACTAGTGAATGTAGAAGGGGTAGGAGGGGCCTATGTACACATGTGGGACTGTAAAAGCTACCTGATTTAGTTAATATTGCATGTAGATTACAAATCTACAAATCACTTTCAGAGAATTTCATAAATCTGAATTAACACTATTAGCTTGCTTCATCAACTGAGGTTAACATGGAAACTTGGCACGCTAGCTAAGTTTTTCTGACTTACGCACAAAGAAGAAAATGACATTTCTTCTCAGTGTTTCAGTCCAGTGTGACAGCATACTGCAGGTCATTAGTGTACTTTGACATTGGTTTATTGAACATGTGCTCTCAACGGCTAATGATAAAAGTGATAATTGGTTTAATCACTGTGAAAACCCATGTTGCAAATGATTGCTTTTGTTTAGAAAAATTCACACAGTTATAAAAATGGACTAAATCCACTTTAATCCTACTCTACAAATAGATTATAAACAGCAAATATAACTGGTAATTTTTCAGCACTGTATTAAACTGATGTTGCAATGGTGGTGTACACAATTCAAAATGAGAAAGATTAATAGACACCTGACAGAAGTTCAGGCTTTTACCTATCATGGCGATTGCTTTAATGCTTTGGAAAAGTGAATCCTTATATTTCAAGGCATGAATAGTGGGGTCCACCATCTATTTCTCTGATGTACTGCAAGCAGAAATATTCTCTTCCACAGAGTTTGGAAGCATGTGCACAATCACTGTACATAAGTCACTTAAGATTAACCAGTTATCTTATTGTTCTACAAAGTCCAAAATTTATATTAAATGCAACCTCTCCTTTTCATATCTGCCCAGATTAATCCTTTTCGAGTCAGTAAAAATTAAAAAAACACAAGAGATCATTTCTGACACAACTTGAACCTACTGTGCATGAAAAATGTTTAATAAAATGGCAATTTAAAAGGTTAAATGTAACTTTGAATGCTTAATACCAAGTGGAAAGCAGCTGAACCACACAGAGAAAACAAGGCTTTCATATCTTCAAATCTAGGTGTTTTACAATAAAGAAAATACTTGAACCTGTAAAGATCAGAACAACTTTCTAACCGGAAAGATTTCTTCAGTGAGACATAATTGAAATGAATACAACCTAAATTTATCTTCTCTAAAATAGGATTAAGAAACCAAATTCAAGTATTTTTAGTTAAGAGATTGGAAAAAAGCATAGTGATTTAGAAAACAAATATGCCACAACGATTATATAACTATTATATCAAGAAATGAAGGCACAGACATTCTTCATATGCTACAAGGGTAACCTCTCTCTTTGATACACAAACACAACACAAGCGTGCATGCACATATTCTAATCTTTATTTTTTTTTCTCCTTGTATTGTTCTGTGAAAAATTATTGTGTTCCCTTAGGGGAGAAATATTTTCTGGCTTTCTCTTATTTCATGGGCCTCTATTTTGGATTCAAATTAAGGCGCTCCCTTAACTCAATGGAAATTTAGAGATCACCTGATCCAAACTTCTATACAGACTCTTGTTTTATGAATGCTGAAATGAGGACCCCCGAGAGGTTAAGAACTCCGCCCAGTTGAGAATATCAAGTGATCCAGTGATGAAGTCTCAGTGAGACTAAGGTATCCCAACTTCTGGTTGCTGCACAGTGTTTCGCACCACTGTGACTCAGAGGTTGCTTCAATATTTCTACAATGGGTGGAGTCCTTGGAAGCAGTGCTACTCAATGTGTATTTTATATACCAACAGTATCAGCAACACCAGGAAGCTTGTTAGATTGCAAATTCCTTTTTTATTATTCTTAACTTTAATTGTAGTGAAATACATATAAAATTTACCAGTTTTACCATTTTTAAGTTTACAATTCAGCAGAATGAAATATATTCACCTTATTACACAACCATCACCACTATCTATCTGCAGAACTACTTTCATCTTGCAAAACTGAAACT